AAGCTACTGATTACAAATCATTTTCTTAATTTCATTTTAGACCATCCATTGATAACATATGTAAATGTAATTGATTTTTTTTAGACAAATGTAACTTTTTATGAGACTTCAATTTTGAAATACATAACTTTTACAGCACACACACAGTATTTACATTTCAAGTTCTTTTTTAGGAAATATGATTTTTATACACATATCTTTGTATCCTGCAACAATACTACATTTATTGATTAGCCCTAGATTTTTATGGATTCCTTGGGATTTATATACATATAGGATAATTAAAATAAAGGTAGTTTAATTCTCCTCTTCCAAACTGGGTATCTTTAGTGTTTTTTTTTTTCCCTTTTTACTAAAGTGGCTATTACAATGTTAACATTACATTGTTAATCAGAAGTACAATATTAATTAGAAGGCTGCTAGAGCAGACATCCTTGCCTTTTTCTCAATCTTGTGTGTGTGTGTGTGTGTGGTGGGGGCATGCAGTCTTTGACCATTTTAAGTATGCTACTAGCTGTAGATTTTAGGAGATAGTGTGTGTAGAATTGCTAGGGACTGAACCCAGGGCCTTGCAATGCTAGGCAAGTGCTTTACCACTGAACTATATCTGCAGCCTGATAACTTGTTAAGATTTTGCTGTTTTTATATATATTTTCATCAGGGGTAAGAGTCTATAAGTTTTTTTTGGTGATATATTTATCCAGCTTTGGTACTGCTGGCTTCATTAAAAAAAAAAAGTACTCCATCCTCTGTTTTCTGGAAAAGACTGTTGAAGAGTAATTTTATTTTTTCTTTAAACACTGACAGAATTCACTGGCAAAAGATCAGGCGCAGTGGCTCACACCTATAATCTCAGCTGCTTGGGAGGTAGAGATAGGAGTACTGTGTTTGAGGCCAGCCTAGGCAAAATGTTTTCAAGACCCTATCTCAAAGAATAAGCCAGGCAAGGTGGAAACATCTATAATCTTAGCTATATAGGAGGTATAGGTATAAGGATGAAAGAATGAGGCAGGAGGTCTGGGCAGAAGTGAGACCCTATCTGAAAAATAGTAACTACAGCAAAAAGGGCTGGGAGAATGGCTCAAGTGGTAGAGCACTTGCCTAGCAAGCCTGAGGCCCTGAGCTCAAACCACAGTACTGAAAAAACAAAAAAGGAAAAAAAAGATTCATCAGTGAAGGCTGAGGTAGGAGGATCACAAATTTGAAGCCAGCCTTGCCTACATAGTGAGACCCTGTAACAAAAGCAACAAAAACCCTAAACCCCAAAACAATAAACAACAACAAAAACACTGAAAGCCATCTATCTGGATCTGGGCCTAGGCTTTTCTTTGTGGAAAGATTAATAATTCAGTTACTTAATTGCTCTAAGTGTATTCAGATTTTCTACTTGATTTCTAATCAGTTTTGATAATTTTTGTCTAAATGTATGTCTATGTCATCTAGGCTTTTTTTTTCTTTTGCAGGACTGAAGATTAAATTTAAGGCCTCAGGCTTGCTAGGCAAATTCTCTACCACTTGAGCTAGACCCCAGCCCTAATTTTTTTTAGCATCAAGTCTCTTATAACGTTCCAGTGTACCACATTACACAGTAGTTCTACTGCTAAGTATAAACTCCAAAGAACTGAAAATATGCACACACAAACTTTAACATGAGTATTCACAGCAGCAACATTCAAAATAGCCAAAACCCGAAATCAACTCAAATGTCTATCAGGCCATTAATGATAAACTGTGGTAAATTTCTACAATGGAATAATATGAAGTTGTGGTATATTCTGCAACACTGATAAACCTCCTATTATATGACTTCACTTATCTGAAATGTCCAGGGTAGGCAATCCAAAGAGACAGAGCAGAATAGTGTTGACAAGAGTAGGTGGAAAAGTAGATGGGAAGGACTGATAATGGGTATGGGCTTGTTCTTTAGAATGATGGAAATGTTCTATAATTATATAGTGGTAATAATTTCACATGTTGTGAATTGATTAAAACACACTGAAATGCACACTTTAAAGCTCTACAGTAAAAAATGTGAGTTATAAGCTAGGTGAAGGGGTATGCACCTGTAATCCCTGCTACTCAGGAGTCCAAGGTAGGAGGATTCTGAGTTCAAGGCCAGCTTGGGCAATATAGTGAGACCTTGTCAAAAAAAAAAAAAAAAAAAAAAAAAAGGCTGTTATATCTCAAATTAAAAGTTTCATTATTAATTTTTAAACTTCTGTATGGCCAGTAGTGATGTCCTTGTTCAATTCTTGATTTATGCATCTTTCCCTTTTTCTTGATTACAGACTCATTTGTCAATTTTATTACTCCTTTCAAAGAACCTACTTTTGATTGCTTCTTGGCCATTTGGCTAAGATCAAGTGTAGTATCTGTTCTTATCAGTTTAATATCTGATACATCCTCTATCCAAGGACAATATATTGAATGGATTTTTGGAATAGAGAGATGGAACAGGAGCTTGCTCTGTCCACTCCATGTATCAACTTGGTATTGCAGTCCCTCCAGGAATGGTGCACATTGAAAATAAAAATGAAACAAAACATTTTAAAAAAGAACCAACTTTTGGTTTCACTGATTTTTCTCTACTGCCTACTTTTTCTACTTCATTTATTTTTGTGTGAATCTTTATTATGTTCTTTCTGCTTGCTTTTGGTTTTTCTCTTCCTCTTGTATTATGTTAAAGCAGCAGCTTTGGCTAATGATTTGAGATGGTTCTTTTTTTCATTATTTTTGTTTTTTTGAGGCCCAGGCTAGCTTTAAACTCCAGATCCTCCTACATCAGCCTTCTGAGTGCTGTGACCACAGGTGTATATCACCATGTCTAGCTTCTGAGATGCTTTTTCTTTAATTATGTCTTTGTCTTCTTTCACTTCAAAGTTTTCTTAAGTTTCTCTTGTGATTTCCTCTTTGGCCCATATGTTAGTTTAACTTCCAAATATTTGCGGACTGCCCACACTTCTTTTTTGCTGTTCTTTCTAATTTGTCTCAGTTATGGTTGGAGTCTTGCTCTGTAGCCAGGCTGGCCTGTGCTACCACGTCCAACTGTTTATAACCATTGTTGAACTGTCTAGTTCTCCTTTTAATTCTTTGCCCCCTGTAGCCTCATTGTTAGGTGGCTAATTAAAATTGCTATGTCTTCCTGAGAAACAAACCCTTTTGTCATTATGAAACATATTTAGGAAAAAGAACTGGTAGTAGAGCACATTAGGTTGAGATTACTAAAAGCTGTGGTATTTTTGCAGTTCTGAGACACATCAGAACACGTTTCTGGAGGAGTATTGTCATGATCATTCTTGTTTCTATATTTTTAGATGGTAGACTGAAAATATATAGGTTATTCCCTTTGTTTCTATAATTCTATTCCAAATGATAGTAAAGAAACACAAAAGGGAGTAAGAGCTCTAGGGATAGATATTAGATTTAGACAGATTTGCAGAAATGAGAAAGAGGATAAAATCGGGTAGTGGAGAAGTCAATCAGAGTCCAGATAGTACAGAAAGCTTGGATTGAAGTGGGAATTATTCACTTGGAAAAATCCAAACTCAAGAGTTGTTGGATGGTGAGACAAGACCAGGTGAGAATCAGAGAACAGGGTGATTAAAGGACTATTCACACACTATCTGACTGTGGGTCTTTCCCTGTCTCTACCAGATGTCTCATGAGCAGAACTAATGTCACCTACTACTTTCCAAAGAAAATAAAAATCTGACTATGGAAAGCTACAGATTCTAATGTGGGCACTGTCATGCATGAGTAAACATCCTTCTGGTTTTGGGAAGTGTGAGGGTAGAGATGCACCTTAACTTACTGGGTAGCTGGGGCTACAGGTGTGTGCCTCATATCTAGTTCTAGATACTTGATTTTAATTTCTGAACTATGAGGAATTTTTCTGCAAAAAAGTTACCCTTAGAACTCACATAATATAATTCATAATTTATATTTCCAGATGACTGGGACTCAGTTTTGACACTAAGTTTCTCAGAGGCAGGAACTTCAGGTTACTGGAGCCCAACATAAGCTAACCAATCACTAACAGTTTGCTTATTAAGCTGCAATGTAAAGAGTATATACATACTATTGAAAAGAGATTTTTAACCTGGAATCTGTAAGGATCCTAAACATCTAAAATAGCCAAGAAGAGGATGTTGGGGGTTATAATTTGCAGATTTCCTTACAGTTTTCGAATAAATTGGAAAGTAATATTATATAGTCATTCAGGTCACAGGGCTGAAGGGGTATTATGGCTCACTAGCATATAATCAACTTGGTGAATAATTATAGCATATCTTATATTATTTATCACTATATCCTATATCACTTTTATATATTTTATATCATTGATGACAATGTGAAATCATCTTATTGGAAAATTTTCAATTTGAAGAAGGTCAAAGGAAGAAAATATCCATTTTATAGTGAGTGTGTCAACAATAAGCTAGGCATCAAAAAGAATACAGTGCTTAGATTTTTTTGAGAAGTGCAAAGACAACTGGTACTGAGAAAAGACAGATGCGTAAAAATATAATTATATATAATACAGGTAGGTGGCGATGAATAGTTTCCTGGAAAGTCAAAGGGTATTTTTAAGAAGAACTGATATATAAGCTGGAGTAGCATTATGAGTATCAGACCAAGAACCACAGACTACAATGGATAGTATTTCAGGTGGGAGGAATGTTTACAAAGGTAAGGATGGAGCCCTCCCTATATTGGGTGGGGTGGGCAAAGGTCCACAGTGGAAATAACCTATAAATTGACGAATTTGGATATTTCCTGAATGCAAAAACCCACTGCTATTGAATGTTTATAAGGAAAGGAGTTTAGTTGAAATAAAAGCTCATGCTTTTGATAGATAACTCTGGAAATAATGTAGAAGGACTAACATGGGAAAGATTATTTGAAGTTCAGAGTTTTATAAATAACTATTTAAGAAACAATACATATCTTTAGGTAGAGCACAGTGTGATTAACAGCAGTATGGTCTGGCAGCTGCTTACCTGTAAGAGAGAGATTAGTCACCGCAGCACTGGTTAGGGGGAGGACAGGGTTGACAGTGAGGGTAGTTGCTGTACTGCTTGTCACAAGGCTTGGTGTGGTTGCCACCTAGAGTCAGAAATGAAAATATGCACAGAGTATTTATAACAAAATTTAAGTTATCCTTAAGTTTCAAAAATGGTGAGTCAGATATATGCTAAGTCAGTAAGAAACAGTATAGTAATGATCAATTTTACCTAAATAAGAAAACTATTTGACCGGATCCGGGAATTGGGGTATATGCACTGCTTTTAACTTTGGACTCTACTGGAGGCAAGATCCCCTTGTTTTTGTTTTTAATGAAATGGTATAGAAAGAACATGAAGCAGATTTTTAAAAACCTAAGTTTCTTTTTGAAATAAAAATTTTCTAGTTTTGTAAAAAACACTGCCTTCTTTCTAGTACACATAAATCTAAAACACAAAATAGTCACCTAACACAAAAATGAAGCTATTATCTAATGACTTTTTATAACTATTTTATAAACTTCACAAGTTAAGCACCCTACCATTTAATAATCACAGCCTTCACTTAACAAATGCATACTGAATGCTGACCTTGAAGTATGGAACACTATTCAAATTTAAAAAACTACATTGACAACAATCATCCGAAAAAGGCACTGAGTCATATGACCATGACATATCCTCTCAGTCTAGGAATAATACTCTAATGCAGATAGCAGAAGCTACTTAATTGAGTTCTATATGAAAGTACCACCTGTTATCTGAGAGTGAAGATCTGAGATGACTGTTTTAATACAATCAGAGCTAAAGGTTTTTGTTTTTTTTCATGTCAATCATGTAAGTTTAACAAACTGGGCTACAGGACATAAATAAAAAATAGCTAAACATTTTTGAGATAACAACAATTTTACTACCAGTTACAAAAGTAACCTAATAAACACACCAGAGAAAAGGATAAGGAAAGTGCAATGAAATAGGAAAGAATTAAAATTGTTCACTTTAAAAAAATAAGGAATAGCCAGGCATGGTGGTGAATACCTGTAGTCCCAGTACTTAGGAAACTGAGGCAGGCAGGAGGATCTCAATTTCAAGTCAGCTTAGGCTACATAGTGAGTTCCTGCCTCAAAAAAAATTAACAACAACAAAAAATTAAGGAATAGAGCTGGCAGTATAATGCCTGCCTAGAAAGTGAGGCCCTGAGTTCAAATCCCAGTCTGCCAAGAAAAAAAAAAAAAAAAAAAGGGAAGACCAATAAGTTCTTGGATTAACAACATGAGATTTCATTATTTTGGGAATATGTGAAATAGAAATTTATATACATTTATTCAACATCAATATTATATATATATATAAAACAAATTCCATTATGAAATAAATTGGTTTAATAGGGCAATTATAAAATTGTACAAATTAGCCCTTGATCTTGTACCTTCTATGCTCATTCTTACCAGTGAGGTTGGACTGGGGAAAATTGCTTTGATAGGTGAGCTGCTGGTTCCACCACTGCTTGGTGGGTTGATTCGTTTTTCCTTCTGGCGGCGATTACAAAACCAAACACGAATCACCTCCTTTTCCATATTGAGCTGTTCAGCAATCAAAGTGATCTCTTCCGAGGTAGGCTTTTGATTCTGAAGGGGAGGGGAAAAAAAAAAACAAAAACAAAAACAAAAAAACACTGTTTGGATTTTTTTGGTGTGGGATAAAACCCAGGGCCTTGTGCATAACTGGCAAGTGCTCTATGTCTGAGCTATATCCTAAGCCCTGGAATAACTTTTTGAACAACTGGTATAATTATAGGAAGAAGTCAGAGAATAAGCTGGGATACATACAAACACATTAAGGTACTTCCAATAAAGAGCTTCTGATAAATCATTACATTACATTTATTCACATTAACAAAGTAAGTTATTTTTGAGTGTTTACATTTTTTCATTTTAAAGGTTTATTAATCTTAAAGTTCCTTACATATTAGTAGGATTTATGAGTTTTCTCAGTGCTTCATGCACACTATCTAACTTGGACCTCACAATATGCCTGTGAGATAGGAAAGAAAGGTATTTCGCAGATGCAAAGACTTCAGCTTGGAGATTAAGAATCAAGAATCACACAGTAAACAAGAGAGTTGAAATAGACTCCTAATTTAATGTTGCTTCCAGTGCACTTGGCCTTTTCTGAATTAGAGAATTTGAAATTTTGTTGGAGGCCTTGATTATGATATTTCCTGATATTAAAAAAAATGCCAAATACATGTTGAATTAACTTGAACTCCACAGCCTGATATTCAAGGCTCTAGTGTCTGGCTCCAAACAGCCACTCTAGACTCATAGGAACTGTAATTCAGCCAGCCAAACTACTAATAGTTTTCCTTGCACAGACCTCTGCTCAGGCGACTCCTTTGCTGGCAGTGATTTTCCCCACCTTTTCCAGTTTATATAATTAATTCCTATGAATCCTGTGGTCACTGTCACCTCTCCCTTACCAAATGCACATGCACATGACCACAGGTCTCTCTTGGCCCCTACAGAGCTTGTTCTATCTCTTTTGTCAGTAACTTACTGTGTCTTATTTTCTCCATGTTATACATGTTCATAAAGGCAGACAAGCTCTTCTTTTATCACCCATAGTTCCTGACAGTAGTACTACAGACAATCCCATGCACACGAGAAGTAAACATCTTTACTGACCTCCAAGAAACTCTTCTCTAAGGCCGCACGGATGTTGGTCTCTATGCTGGTGCGTTTCTTCCTCCTACGATTCAAGCCTTCAACTCCCACCCCTGGAGAATTCAGGGCACTTGGGCTGGAGACAGAGGAATCAGATGAGAGGTTCTCTGTAAAAATGGAAAAACAGATATAAAACTAGCTAAACAAAATGATTCATGTGCATAATACGTATATAAACATTAACAATAAAATGGACAAGTTTTCCAAGTGTGAAAAGATTTTTAATATGACCTATATTAGAACACTGCTTACTATGATGGATCTTTTTTTTTTTTTTTTTTTGACAGTACTGAGGTTTGAACTCAGGACCTCATGCTTGCTAGGCAGGCGCTCTACTGCTTGAGCCACTCTGTCAGCCCCTTTTTGTGTTGGGTATTTTTGAGAAAGGGTCTGATGAACTATGTGTCTGTGCTGGCTTCGAACCTTGATCTTCCTGATCTCTGCCTCTGACTAGGGTGAGCCACTGGTGCCCGGCCATCATGAATCTTTTCACTGCTCTTATTGGCATTCTTTGTCCCAGAATGGGTGGCTACACTGTTATCACTACTTTCTGATTTCTGTTTCTGAGAATACAGAAATTCACTATTCCTACACTCAGACTCAGATCTCTCTCAGTTCTGTACTTATGTTTGTTTATGGGCTCTGAGGATAAAATGAACAAAGCTTCTTAGAAATTACTGAATGTTTAATATTTCTCTTACAAATGACCTCTCATTTTACTGGCATAATATGGGGAAAAAAATAAAAGAAAAAAGTACTTCTAAATTCCTTAAAGTTAAAAGTGTTTTTTCATTTAATGGCTCAGTAATCCTGGGTATGTAATATACACATCTGAATTTCTGATAGAGCAGACCAGCGGCTCTCTCGCATGGAACTCAGCAGACTACAGATGGCTAGGCCTCAACCTCAGCTACTTAGTCAAGCTGCCCAAGGAGGGTGTTTCAGGACCTTCTTTTCCAAAGGCCTAATTTTTTAAATTTTTGTTCATAGCTACAATGAGAAACACACTCAGGAGCACCTTTATGGCTCCTTTTAGCTCACATAGTCTATGATTCTGTGGCTCCAAATCCAAATTTTCTAAAAGGTTATCTCACATAAAACACATAACTTAAGAATAGAAGCCCACAATCTCTGCTTCCACCTTCCACCTGGCCCATCGTGTTTGTAACTCCTCTCCTTAACCTTTAAAAAAACTTTTATTATCTCCCTCACGATGTCTATGTAACCCTGACCGGATGCACACATCTGGACTTTCTGTTTATCACCCACTATAAGAGAGCCATTCTACTGAGCCAACAGTCAAGAACTTATACTAAGAAGGCTCTTTTGCAATTAAAACAATTTTTACACTGTATTACTTTAACTGCAGGAAATACTTGATAAAGTATTCAGATTTTTAAAAAATTGATACATAATATTTGTCCTCTATAATTTCTTTGTTACAAACATTAGCCAATGCCTAATCCAGTTTCAAATTTCTCCTGCATCAATCAATCAACAATCAATTTGCAGGACTAGGGCTTGAACTCAGGGCCCTGTCCTTGCTAGGCAGATGCCTAACCACTTCCTTTTTTTTTTTTTTAAATTCAGGATGTGATGCATAGTTGTTCACTGCTGCATTCTGGAATATGTAATAATTTACTAGTCTAAATATATCAACCTCTAATCACAAATCAATCCCTAGGTTACAAGGAAAAAATAAAGTTTTAGAAAAAAAAATACAATCCCAACTTTTTGTAAGAAAAAGCAGAAATAATCCCAGGAAAAAGTTCTATGATAATCCATCAAGGAAGAAGTAACACATCTGTTTTTTAAGATTATTTAAATGCATAGGCCTTACTCTCTCTCCCTTTAGTATGTCCCCAATCCTGGCTCAAATATAAAAAATACTCCAAGACTAAAAATTACTTCCAATTATTTACACCGTGATTGCTAGAATATTTAAATAAAAATAGCTCTCTAATTTACATAGCCGTAATTTATGAAGTCTCCCAAGATTAATGAGCTTCCAAATTCTGTAGTACCAATAATACAAGACACAGAAACCCCAGTTCATACAATCCCCCCCTGTAAAATTCCAATGGACAATGAAGAAATTTCTTATGTAATTACTTACCTGCATCATTTAGCCACTTTTCTAAAAGTGGCTTTAACTTGCACATGTTCTTAAAGCTGAGGTTCAAGGCTTCAAAGCGAGAGATGGTAGTTTGGCTGAAGTCATTTCCATACAGTTTACCCATAGCGAGCCCAACATCACCCTGTACAATACAGAGCAGGACGGGGCAGAAGAAAAGAGAAAGAGGAAGAGATTCATCTCACTAATGTTCATAGCCTCCATTCTACTCTACAAAGAAGCAATCGTAATTCCATTTACTGGGTCCCACTTAAACTCCATCCCTAAACTGAGCACGGTATTCCAGGTAGGACAGACTCTTAGGGTCTTGATCATAGCAACAGTCAACACTGCTCCATATACCTTCCATTTGAATCTCTTCTTGCTACCTTATGTGGTAATTAAGATATCAAAACCTCTTTAAGCCTCCAAAGTTAGTACTGATATTCTAACAGTTCTCTTACTTAATGCAACCAAAGTGACTTAAATAATTTTTAAAAATCAATTTACTTGTATAACCTATAGGGATTAAATCTAACTGTCTAAATAACCTAAGAATTTCTGAACTAACCAAACTTCCCATAAACCCTTTAAAATTTAGAAGTGATCCCTCAATCTTTTTATTGTTTTTTTTTTCCTCCCTATAAAGTATTTCTGGCAGCTGTGAAAAAAAATCTATTTTCACCCTTACTTTGGATTTCAAAGTTGGTTACAAAACCCAGATATTCTAAAAGACCATTTTTGTAACCATAATAGAGATAGAAATTCACAGTAGAGAGGTTTGACCCATTTAGTCTAACCTTCATGGGCACTGGAAACTTGGTAACCTTACAGCAATAGAACAATGATCCCCTGAATATATTACAAAAGATGTCTTTCTTCATGAGCCTATAGCCTTTGAAATGTATACAGTGCTTTTATTCTAGCTGGATCTCTCTTGTTCAAGCTTGAAAAAGCTGTATCTTAATAGTTATTTCGTAGACATATAGAAGCTCATGGAGTTTAAGTGATTCACTCACTTATTTCAATTAATTTAATGACAGGGCAGAAAGGCAACAGCATTTCTGGTCCAAAGAACCACACAACTAATTCTACTATGAGACAGCCAACTTCCAATTGACCTGGTAATACTATTTTGAATTGGGATTATCCTAGTTCTTTCACCTCCCACTCCCCACCCATCTTTTGGATACTCTGTTTATTAGCATCCTCATTAGGTAGTAGTTGAGGAAAAGAAAGAACATTTTTTGAAAACTCCATTTTCTTACTACAGGTGAGCAACTTCTGATAAAAAGTTTAATAGAGGGCAAATGTAGAACTGAGATATACAGAATACTTAAAGTGACATATATCCTATGCCTCCTATGTGATGGCCACCAGTCATATGTGGCCATTTAAATTTAAAATTATTTGAAATTAAATAAATTCAGTTCCTCAGTACCACTACCCTTTCAAATACTCAATAGTCACTAGAGGGTAGTGACTACTGTACTGGACACCCCAGATACGGAACATTCCCATCACTGTCAGCTCTGAATGTCTTCTCTGTAACTAGAACTGAAACTACTCCTTCCAATTACAGTGAAACAGGAAGGACCAGACAGGATGCATAGGGCACAAATGCTGTCTATTATGTCGTTATTTAATGTTCCTAAAGATACGGATAGATGTGTTCATGCGCACCTCTGTATGTTTACTATATGTCACTCCAATCGATGAATATTCACCCAGCACCTACTGTATGTCAGGTATTGAATTTACACTTTCTGTATCATATATATTCATGTCTTGAGTCACTTTGTGTAGATCATAGCTTTCTAGAAAACTGAGACCAACTAAAACCTGCATTTTTTTTTAGTATGAGACATTAAGTAGCAGTTAGATGGCAATAAATGTTTTCTGATGTTGTAATCACAAAATTGAATAATTCTTCACAAAGATTTATAATATCTTATGAAAAGGAAAAATTTTGACAACCAAGAAAAATACTTATTCAAAAACCCCATCATAGTAAATATAAAAAATACTATCTTAAGTTGGTGGCTAGAAAAGCTACACCATGAACTAACTAGAACCATGGCAAAAATGACAAATTCACTTAATTGAGACTTGTAATACAGTTTTACTTCACTTTATTAATTTCTATCATTTGGTACATGCTTGGCTTTGTGCTCTTGTAACTCTTGGGTTATTAAAAGAGCAAAAGGAATGAAGCAAAAATAAGGACTAGAAAACAATGAATGCACCACATTTGGTAAACATGTTAAGATACTATGACATGCTTTCTAATATATAACGACATTCACTGTTTATTAAAGGATAAGTGATTATGTAATTAGAAAGCAACTGCTTAGGCTCAGCACAGTGGCTCAAGACTGTAATCCTAGCTTCATGGTAGACAGAGATCAGGAGGATTACAGTTTGAGGTCAAAGTGGGTAAAAAGTTCAAGAGACCCCCATCTCAACCAATGGTTGGGCACAGTGGTACACACCTGTCATCCTAGCTACACAGGTAAGCACAAATAAGAGGATTGTGGTCCAGGTCAGCCTGAGCATAAAACAAGACAATATCTCAAAAACAACCAACACAAAAAGGGCTTGTGGAGTGACTAAAGTGGTAAAGCACCTGGCAAGCATGAGGCTCTGAGTTCAACCCCTTAGTACTGCTCCAACCCCCTTCCCTGCCGCCAAAACAAAACAAAACACCCAAACCCAAACAAACAAACAAACCACACACCCTCCCTGCAAGAAACCCAAAACAAAAAAAAACTGCTTAAAACGTTAAACAACATTTGTATGTACTCAAGGGATAAGGATTTATCCAATAACTTGATGTTTAACTTTCCATATATATATATATCAATATGAATAAACGAGATACACAGTTGCTTTTGAAAAACTATAACTAAGATGTATGATTTAAAAACAAAGGTTAATAAATTGATTTTCCTATTCTGCACCAGTAATATCTGCTTTAATCTATACAGTCAAGTTTTGTAAACCAATTATCACTGCTGGTCAAAGCCATTTTGAAAATTAAGGAGTAGTCATGCTAAAAAATGGGATAAAAACCATAAAGCAGAACATGAGACTACAGGGAAGAGACACATGCAAGAAAGACACACACACACACACACACACAGAGTAGAAATACACTGGATTAAATACCACTATTTGGGTTAAAGTTGCAAGATTTTTAAAAGCTTTATCATCCTTGGCATATCACTTAGGCAACAATGCTCCCCAGGAACCAAGAATATACTGTGCTACACACAAAAATGTGTAGCACGCGCAGCTAAATGTATTAACCTTATACTTATTTTAGTCTTATTAATTTACCCCTGGTAATGTAGCTTATCTTTAGTTTATTTTAAAAACAAGTCAGATCATTCCGATGCTTCAAAAGTACTAAAATGTTTCAGGATTGTTATTTGTTTCTTTGTAACTGAAACTCCTCAAAAATGTAACTGCATTTTATCTAAAATTGTATCTATTTTAAAAATCATTTTTATACTCCTAACACACAATTAGTTTCTTTAAGCAAAAATAAATTCCCAAACGTAAGAAATGTAAGAAATACAAGTCTGTTCCTAAAAACATGTAGAATACAGGCAGAGAGGTCATCCTGATTGTTGATCTATCAGAGCACATGGTACATCATGTATTTTCAACACAAACTAATTTCGGTAGTGTGTAAGTAGAGGCTTAAATTTCAAAAATAACAATATTCTCTGGAAAGAAAACATCAGATTTATTCATGATTACATTATTTCCAATGCAATCCACACTTCAGGATTTTGTCTTTCACCTAATGATCTTATGCCACTTTACATAAATGTCATCAGTTTAATTCCATTCCTGCTTTAAAAGAATTATTTGTGACAGGTTAATAAAGGAGTAAGTCAGTGGTAATGCTTAGTTAACTGTTTAAACCATTAAACATATTCATTCCACTTTAAGAGCCCTCTGCTAACTGACATTAACAAATTAATTTCGATTTTGATTAATCTGGACTTTTCATCTTCAACAGATTCTTACTTGATGGCAGTCAGTCTACCATCCCTCTTTCCCCAAAAATCTATTTTTAAATAAGGTTCTCAAACTTAATCTCTTTTCAGCTACTACAAAAGACCCTGTAATCTTTATTCTCGAATTGTTACATATGTAGCAATAAAGTTGACAATCAGATATTCTTCAAATAACAAAACCCTCAGCACAGTCACATCATCCTCCAACATAACCTTTTAATCCCTTACGATTTACAAATATAATTTCAGAAATTTGTGTTGTGAGATGAATCTTGAAAAGTTTTAACCTAACATTAAATCACAAATAAGGCTAAGATTATAATTTACAACTAAATGTATATTATAATACTCTAAACTTATAAATGCTAAATGACTAACTAAAAGTTGCTGTTAAAACCAAAATCTTCGAAACCTCTATAGGTATGTAAAGCAAGGAGGGAGATACAAAGCAGGGGGTTTAGCTACCTGAGTGAATCCAAGTTTGATTCTTCGTTGTTTGAAGGTCTTGGCAAACTGCTCAAGCTCCTCAAGGTCACTGGGCTCCTCCAAGCTGGGTGTATCGATTCGCTTTGGTGTTGTCTGGCTCTGTGGAAGTGTCTGAATTGGGGTTGCTGCTATTGTGCGTGTTGGGGTTGCTGGCTGTTGAAAAGATCAGAATGATAGAAAGATATTTAAGTTCACAACTAGAATGTGCTGCAAGTAAACAACTTACGGAAACAGCTGTGTTCATGGAGACTGCTGAAGACCAGTTACCACTACAGAAGGTCCAACACAATGAGAAAAACAGACTGTGAGATACGCAAACTGTAACTACAGATATGGTTAAGCAAGGAAGTCTGTGGAGGAAACCTGAATACCTAAAAATAAATACATGTCCCTACATCTTTTAATAAATTACTCTTTATTTTTAAGAACTTACTTCGTAAATATGTAATTTAGGCTATCAAAACATTAGAGACCATTTCTGTTTTGTTTAGCAATATCATATATTCCAACACGTGACATTATAAAAATAATAAGATTATTAAAACCGTATGTATGTAGGTATGTATGTATGTATCTATCTATTTAGTGGAGCTGGGGATTGTACCCAAGGCTTGCATATGCTAAGCACATGTCCTATTGCTGAATTACATCCTCAACCTTAGAATCATTCTTGATCTTAGCCGGAAGATCAAGAAGCGATACTAAATTATTTTAGGGGAAAAGTAAATAGCCTGTAGCTTTGTTTTTTGAGACAGTCTCAATATGTAGCCCAGGCAGGCCTCGAACTTTCGATCCTCCTGCCTCAGGCTCTGGATGCTGGGATTACAGGGGTTTACAACCACAGCTGGATCACCTGTAGTCTAAAAAACTTAGAGGCATCATTTTGGGGTTTTTGTTTTTCAAGCTTTTTCCTACAAACCTATAGTTTTAATTTTTAATTGTAATTATGGTACAAATAATTTTATACTCTGCTTTCCTCATTTAATACTATGTTTTAACTTTTTTCTATGGTGTTTCAGAATTCCTAATTATCCTTTTCAATGACTGAATGAGGTAATATTATCATAATTTACTTTCTTAATTGCTGGACAGTTTTTCATCAGTACAGAAAACACAACAGGAAAAACTGTGCATATAACTATTTTTACCCACCTATGTAAATTTCTGTAAGGTAAATTCTCAAGGGGTTTTTTGGCACCTGGATAAATAATTTCAGGGCTTTTGGTATACATCATAATGCATTCTACTATATAAGGCAGTTTCTTCCACATGGTTTGTATCACCAGTTTTAAAAATATTTTGTTCTTCAGGGAGTAAATGTTACATTCCTTCTGTGAATATTTGCATTTCTCTTACTACTCACAGTGAAGAAAAGTTTTCTACATGTAAATTATCAGCTGTATTTCCTTGGAATGGTGTTTTATGTCCTTAACCGATTTATATATTAATATATTTGATCTCATTCTTACCCTTAACAAGCTCATCAAATGTTACAGAGCAAGACATACACTTTAAATTGTCATCTGGATGGAGTGCTGCTGCTCCTTCCCACCCCCTAATATGTTTTACTGGTTCAGATCTGAGAAACCTTCAGTTATTTCTAAATCTGATAAAATTCCTGATAATAAGCCACTTTCTTCTTTGCATTTTGGAGCATTTAATTTTTTAAATCTACCTAAAATTTATTTGGGGACCTGAGGACATAGTCCCTTCCCCCCAGCCCCCACCATGCTGGGGACTGAGCCCAAGGCCCAGTGCACACTAAGTTACACTGGTCTGGTTTTTCTTATTTTTTGGTGGTGGTAATACTGGGGTTTGAACTCAGGGCCTTGTGCTTGGCAGCTTTCCCTTTATAAAGAAAATGTTAAATTTCCTTTTCATAGAAACAAGGCCACTCTGCTCTACTCACTGACAGAGTGTTCCTTTGCAAGGTATTCATTCACTAATGGGAGGTGCTGTCCTGGTTCTGCATCCTAATTGCTCAACTGACCCCTCTGTGAGAGATTATAGACCTCCAGGTGAGAGATTATAGACCAGGATTATAGATAATGTCTGTGGCAGTAAACTTTTCTTCTTGTAATTTAGAGAGTTCATACATCCCTGACCTTGACCTCATTAGCCAAGGCTCTTTCCAAAGGAACTAACTGGCTCAGAAAACTACACAACAGACATTACATAAACAATAATTAGGGTTAGTTCTTCTCTTATCTTGCTTCAGTGAAGACAATAAAGTTCATCTCCATGACATGCTGACACTGAGTAATTTTCAGCCTGACCATTTTGGAGGAGCCAAATAAAGCACCAAGTATATTAGAATCTTATGTGCTGTACATTTCCCACAGTGAAACTGGCTGGTAAGTGGAGCTGAGTCTCAACTATCAAATAGCTTGGGTACCTTTAAGTGTCTGGTTGCAGATGAGATACCCCAATTCTAGAAACCTCAGGCTGTAGTGGGCCAGATCTAGAAATGGCAGAGTAGAATTTAGTAAGCAAGTCAGGATGAAGTTGCAATAGCCTGCCACTATGTGCAGAGCACGCAGGCCAGGAAGGAGTCTCTGTGATAGGATTTTGTCAAAATCCCAAGCATAACTTTCGTATTGAGCATATTAAAAAAATGCATCATTAAAAATACATAGTTTAGTATGTTTGGTAACTGAATACAGTCACATAAATAACAACAGGATTAAGACACAGAACATTTTCATTACCCCTGTACCCTTTGCAGTTAATCTTTATTATTAATCCCCACTCCCTGTACCTCTAGTTTTGCCTTTTCTAAAATGCCATCTAAATTGAATCACAGTATACAGTTTTTTATGTCTAGCTTCTTTTGGTTAACATAAGGCTTCTGAAATTCAAATGTGTTGTTGCATGTATCAGAAGTACATTTCTTTTTACTGCTTATTAGTTTTCTGTCATATGGACATGTCAAAGTTTATGTTAACAATTCACTAGCTGATGGATACTTAGGTTTCCAGTTTGGGGTGATTATGAATGAATCTATTGTAAGAATTCATACGCAGGTCTTTGTGTAGACATATGCTTTCATTCATGAGTAGAATTGCTGGGTCATAAGGCATACATACATACATACAACTTTATAAGAAAATGTCAACCTACTTTACAAAATATGGAGCTGGGGTGTGGATCAACTGATCAGAGTGCCTGCCTAGCAACCACGAAGCAGAGTTCCAAACTCTACTACCACCACAAAACAAAAAATAAATAAATAAATAAATGGGAAAAAAAAGTAACAAAGTATGTGTACAATTTTGTAAAAAATATTAGCAATGTATGAGAAAACTAGTTGCTTTACATTCTTGTCAACACTTGCTCTTATCATAGCCTTTATAATTGTGCCCATTCTAGTCAATGTGTGGGGACAATTCATTTGCACTTCCCAGGTGACTAATGGTTTTGAGCATTTTTTCATATGCTTATTGGGCATTCACATAACTTCTTTGGTAAAGCAGCTTCAAATTTTCTTGCCTCTCACTAACATAAATCAGGTTGTCTTATTATTAACTTGTAAGAGTTCTTTATTCTAGATATAAGTCTTTTGTTATTATGTTTTAAGAATATTATGGTATTATGTTTTAAGAATATCTTTTCCTGTATGTTATTTTGGTATTATGTTTTAAGAATATCTTTTCCTTACATGTTATTTTTCTTCCCATACTCTAAAGATAAGCTTTTAATTTTTATGAAATTAACCAATTTTTTCTTTTAAAGAAATCACTTTCTTATCCAACAACACAAAGATTTTCCCCTACGTTTCCTTCTAGAATTTTAGGTCTATACCCATTTCAAATTAATCTTTGCATACAGTGTGAAATGAAAGTTAAGGTTTTTTTTTCTTCCTCTCTACATGTCTATGGTGGAAGGTTTTTTTTTGGCGGGGGGGACGGGGGAATGTCAGAAATCATTTGTTGAAAAGATTTCCTTTACCTAGTGAAATTCTTTGGCACCTTTGGAAAATTATGTGTGGGTCTACTGAACTTCTATTTCATTTATCTATATGCCAATGTCACACTGTATTCATTACCATTGCTTTATAATTACTGACATCATGTAGTCCTTCAACTTTCTTACTTTTAAAAAGCTGGTTATCTTATGTTTTCTACAATTCCATGTAAATATTAGAAACAGTATGAAAATTTCTACAACAAAGCTGCTGAGTATTGATTATCAACTTGGGAGAACTGATATTTTAACAATTAAGTATCTGATTCATGAAGAGAGTCCATCTATTTCATAGGTCTTCTTTCATTCTACCCAGCAATATTTTGCAGCTTTCAATGTACAGGTCTTATAAACCACTTTGTTAAGTTTGTCTCTAAGAATCCCAATTTTTCTTAATTCCAATTTCCAAATGATCACTGCTAGTGTGCAGAAATAAAATAGGTTTTGTATATTAAGTTTGTATGCTACATACTTGCTAAACTTTTTCTTGTAACTTTTTTTTTTTTTGAGATTCCTTTGGATTTTCTATGTAGACAATCATGTTATTTACCAACTAACATAGGTAGACTTTTTCCTTTCCAAAGAAATAAAACACACAGGAAAAAATAAATCTGTATGTCTTCTATTTTTTTCTTATTTTTTTTCAACATTGAGTAAAAGCAGTAATAGTAGGAATGTAATTCAGTCTTTCATTATTATGATGTTAATTTTTTTTCTTTTAGTAGATACCCCTTACCAGGTTAAGTAAGTTACCTTTTATTCCCAGTCTTATGGTTTGGATATGAAGTATGCCACAAAGGCTCATGTGTTAAACAGGCTTGGTTGCAGCTGATGGGCTTTTGCGCAGTGACTGGATCATGAGGACTCTGACCTCATCAGTAGATGAATGTGTTGATGGGTTCATAATCTGATGGCTTTACTGGAAGATGGTGGAGACACTTCAAAGTGGGGCCTAACTGGAGGAAGGAAGTCACTGGGGGCTGTATCTTGCTCTGTGCCCCTCTTTCTGCCTCCTGTCCACCATAGATGAATGAGTCTTCTGCCATGATGCTCTTCTTCACCATCACAGGCTCAGAGGAAACAGGGCAAGTGACCATGGACTGAAATCTCCAAAACTCTGAGCCCAAAGAAACCTTTTTCCCTTTAAATTGTTTCTTTCAAGTATTTTCCATGGCAACAAAAAACTGACCAAGACACCTACTATGAAAGCATTATTATAAATAGATATCGAATTCTATCAAATGTAGTAAAGTGTTAGTATTAAGTTTTAACTAATATACTTTAAACAAAGTGATTCAGGATCAATCAGTTCAATTAGCAAATTAAAAGATAGGAGACTGAAGTCCAGAGTAGTAAAATGACATGCATACTCAAAGTGACTGCTAGGTAAGAAGCAGAAGATAGATCTGTAACTTAAACTTCTAGAGACCTAAAACCTGTGCTGTTTATATGGTTATAGTTAGTCACTGTATGATCTGGAGGAAACAAGCTAAACCAACATTTAAGCACTGAGAGGAAAGAAAATGAAGAGATCCGAGATTCTTTGCAGTTTCTGAGAAGACAACAACAGGTTTTTAACAGAGGCACTAAGTTTTCAGTTCAATTGGTACTATCTACTGCCAAGGGTAAGGGTATGTGGGTATGTGGCTCAGATAGGCACAACTCATTACTCATTTACTATTAACAGTTTTTTTTCTTCCCCACAGTTATTCTTTATGAACTAAAAAAACAAAAAAAATAGGGACTCCTAAAATTTTCAAAGATTACATCAATTTGGTAGCACTGCTTTATTGGCTGATAAGCCCAGCTTTGAATTTTTGCTCAGTTTCTGAAGACCATTTGGATTATTTTTATTAGGGTTTTAAAAAATTGTTACTGTTTTTAAATTAAACAGTCTAAAAGTTTCTCAAAACAACAGAAAGAGAAAACTGACCTGGGAGGTGAGGGTGATGCTTGGCTGCGACTGTAGGAGGTTGGCTTGGCTTTGCTGAGGTAGTTGCGTTAAAAGATTTTGCGCTTGCAGGAGACCTATAAAACAGTTATGCCAGAAACAGTAAAGATAACTTCAAACACATATCATTAAAGAAAAAATAAGCATATGAACCTGTGACTCACACGTCTAATCCTTGCTACTTGGATCCTGTTTCAAAGTCAACAGGGGCAAAATGTTCTCAAGATCCCATCTCAATCAATAAAAGCTGAGTGTGGTAGCACATGCCTGTCACTTCATCTACAGGGCCAAGTATAAATGTGAGACCCTATTCAAAGATTAATTAAAACAAAAAGAGCTGAAGGCATAGCTCAAGTGCTATAGTACCTGCCTAGCAAGTGCAAGGCCCTGAGCTCAAAGCCCAGTACTGCCAAAGAAAAAAAAAAACCTGAAAACTTCCAGGATTGGGAGTGTGGCTAAAGTGGCAGCAAGCTTGAGGCCCTGAGTTCAAATCCCCAGCACCATCATAAAAAAAAAAAATTACATTAAAAAAATGAACCGAAAATTCCTTGATAGTCTTACTGGTTTTCAAACTCTTACTTATTTAAAACTCAATCCTGTTAATTATAACTTGGGCAAGAAGAAACATAATATTAAATTAAAACTGGTATGTCTTTAGTATAATTAGAGTAAGTTCTCTAATATGCCAATTCTTCAGTTTAGTAAAAAGCAGATAAAAGTGAAGAACTAAACGGAAGCAACTGGAGATTCCAAAATGAGCTCAACTTCTTAACTTACAACCCATTAGAATCTGCCAGTATATGTCAGGCCAAAGAATTACTCAGGTCCTGAAAGGAGATTTTTCCTCTCAGTTGAAGTATTTTCAAGTTCCCTTTTGGTGATAATAAAATTGCAGTGTGTGAACATTATCTGCATTGACACTGAATAGCTTAGTTTAGAAGTGATAAGTAAGGTGAGTGTGGTGGAGCATGTGCCTACAATCTCAGTTACTCAGGAGGCTGAGGCAGGGGGGATCACTGAAGCCCAGGATTTCAAGGTCAGCCCAGGAAACATAGTGAGATCCTGTCTCAAAAACCAAAAACAAAACCAGCCTCCGGCCCCCTGGCCAAACTGATTGGTTTAAAAAAAAAAAAAAAAGCCAGACCTCAAACAACCTTGTAAAGAGAGGGCCAATCCAGAATATCTGTATTTAAGGACTTATTCTAAGTACCTAGTTTCAAATATCATGACATTGCTGAACTTCTAAATACAAAATTGTTTGTAGGGCTGGAGGCATGGCTTAAGTAGTAGAGTAAGGCCCTGGGTTCATTCCCTAGTATTGCCAAAACCAACAAACCAATCAACCTATCAACCAACCAATGAACAAACAAAAAAAGATTATGATGAGATAGGAGCAGTGGCTTGAAATTACCCAATGTAGCTCAATAAACAAAAGGAATTCTGTAAGTTTTTTGAATATGCAATAAAATTTGTTGGGGGTCACAGTTAGTTTCCTAACTATGATTTCCTTAGTCTACTCTATTGGCATACACTGAATATTGGAATATGTAGGACAGTGACCAAAAAATTTAACCCTGTCAGATTTTACCATTTGTTTGTAAGTAACTAAATATTGCCTGAATTTAAGTAATCAAAACATTTTTTTATAATGTAGATCTCAAGATATACTAAGTAGATTTGAATTTTCTAGAGAACCCTGACTTTGTTGATCTGAGGTAAGTAGAATATATTTTGAATCAATTATGAGTAAGTGAAATAAAATTAAGTACATATTATTACTATAAACTTCTCTTTACTAGCATAAATTGTACAAAGTGATTTCATTGTGATTTTTCCATAGAAGTATACAATGTACTTTCATCAAATTCATCCCCTCTATTTTACTCTCTTAACGTCCCTCCCTTTCTTTGAGATTACAAACTTCTCTTACAAGGCAGATTTAGAAAAAAAAAAAATGTGGAAGTTTAAACGACCTGTTCTACTTTCTCAAGTGTCTCTCTATGGTTTAATGCTAAAGAGTAGTTAGGGTGACTTTTTTGATCATGTCATGCCCCAATTAAAACACTCCAGGGAGCCAGGGCAATCTTGAGTATGTAGCCTGGGCTACATAGCAAGACCCTGTCAAAATGAAATAAAGCAAAACTCCGGTGACCTTCCATTATAATTAGAATACATTGCAGCCCTGGGTAATCTGGCCCTGTCTAGCTCTTACACTTCATCTTCAACTACTTCCTCTGACTCACTCAACTCCAGCTACACCAGCCTTTCTTTTCCTGGATTAAATCAGGCTTGTGCCTCTTTCAAGTGTTTTGTATTCCCCTTTGCCCCATGCTAGGTATAGCAGCCTCCCCATCATTTTTCAGTTCCCGACTCGATATCAATTCCCCAGAGGCCTTTTCAGATCACATGCTCATTCTTCCACAGTCAACCTTTACCAGATTAGTCTGACCTCCTGCCTTCCTAATGCATACTGCTATCTAAATCATTTGTTTACATGTTTGCTATCTGACTTCTAATGACAACAAGGACTTTATCTGGCTCAAAATTATAGCACTAACAGAGCGTTGTATGACACTCAGCAGGTATTCAACAAATTATTGAGCAAATGAACCATGCAACATTAAATTTTACAGGTTTGAAAAAACCTTCAGAGTAGTATAGAAAAGAAAATAACATTTTATATCAATGATTAAAACTAACCTATTCAGTAAAATTATTTTGAAAAGGATAAAAACCCAAGAATATTACAAAATAATAAAAAATGAAACAGAAGACAGCACAAAAATAAGAAATTAGGCCTTATTATCAAACAGGGTATTTCACAGGAACTCTTTGCATGTATTTTAAAAAATGACTTCTACCCAACTAGAAATTGTATTTCAAACGATTAACTTTGGTTCCTAGAAGCATATGCTATGAACAAATTCTAACTTTAGGTATTTTTTTCCTCAAATAAGGTATTTACATAGGTATTTACGTAACAGAAGATTTTGGAATGAATGACCAACAAGAAAAAAGGCAAAAACAAAACTCCAGAAATAATGAAAAGTTGGTATGATTAGCACAAGTTATATACATGTTAATGAAACAGCACACTATCACCCATAAATATTATTATGTGTGAATTAAAAATGTTTAAGGAGCTAGAACTACTAACTACTTTGATTTAATCATTACCTATTATATGCAAGTATCAAGTTATCACACTGTACCCATAAGTATGTATAATTAAAGTAATAATTTAAAAATCAGTAGAGATGCACTAATGTTCCTTGGATTGAAGTCTTGATTCAATCCAAGGCCTTGCAAACATGATTAAACTTTACTATCATTTGATACAGAAAGTATACAATATCTACTACTCAAAGCCCTCAAAGATGGTCTTCATAACTCACAAAATTTGTGGTTTCTAATACAAAACCTTTTCTTCAAACTTTAAAGGAAACAAAATGTTTGTTAGAAGCATATACTTTCAATGTTCAGTCCATAGTCTTTGAATTCACTCCCATGAAAAACTGTCATGACACTAGAAGCAATTTATATCCAATTATGTTCAGTGGGTTGAATGGTTTAATTTGGATTTTTGGTCAAACTTTTGGTTCCTTCTTAGTGTTTACAAGTGAATAGCAATCTTCAATTATGTGGTATACATGACAAAAATATTTCTTAACTTGAATACAGATAATTTAGAATCAAAATTTAATGAAATTACTGCTCAAATGGACAGCCATGGTATCCACTAATAAGCTAAAGGGAAGAGCTCACCCTGCTGGCCCTGGGGCGTCTGTGAGATGATAAACTGTGCTGGTTGCAAGTTGGTGGTTGGATGTACCAACACAAACTGTTGCAGGTTGAGATTATGCTGTTGAAATTGTTGTAGTTGTTGAAGATCCTGAAAAATTGGAATTAAAATAGCAATTAAGAGCTTCTGAAATAAAAGCTCACTTAACCATAAGGTTCCCAGCTGATAACTTCTGTCACATTCAAATCAAGAAAAGTCAATATTTAGCATTCTTTCATATTCCAACAGTGGGGAAATCTCAGTACCTGTAGCCTTTGTAAGAACTTACTATTTTTGTGGGCCTGACATATATAAAGCCATGACTTACACTAAGCCTAATTTTCACTAGTTAACTCAGAATAAAAGCATTTAAAATACCTGACTCACTTTTCTCTTAAGTAAAAATTAAGGGTGCTATGTTTGAATTTTCAGTAATAAAAGGTCTAAGATTCATGAAATTTGATACCAGCTTATCTAACCCAACTGAGAAATCAGTGGTAAATTTTTTTTTAAAAAGTTACACACATAAATCCAGATCCATAGCATAATATTACACCTTACGTTTGCTCTAGTGCTTTATAATTTTCAAAGTGCTTTTATATAGAGTATCTTATTTACACTAATGTAAACATTAGGTCTCACAGCATGGACATCAAAAATATTTATTTTATGATGAAGAAAGTGGTCAAAATCAAAACATTATTTTGATAAAGACTACAGATAGTAGTAATAATGATTGGTCTGGCATTGTTTTTAAACATCTAGTCAAATGCTTGCTATAATTTAAATGCACTTCTGAATCTTCTCTGGAGTTATAAAGACAACTGTTGAAAACTACATTCACAATAACTCTTCATATATTTTATTCAACAATTACTTATACCTTTTCATATCTTTTCCTTTTCTTGAGATAAAGGATTTCACTGAATTTCCTCCCTGATGCCTCTTAAGTGACTTTTTGGGTTATCTTTGGATAACTTTTCCCTAAAATGTGAAAAATGAAACCAAACAACATTCTAATGTAGTTCTCCACAGTGCTAATTGCTCCACAGCAGAGATGACTTTGCTATCTTTCTCACACATGGGTGGCAACATTTACTGCAGAGCATATGAAAGAACCCATGCCTGCTGTAATTAGCTAATTAAGATAAATACAGTAATCCCCTGCTTCAGAAATGTGCCAGCTACTTATTCAAGAACTGTCGCTTAATATAAAACAGTTATTCAAATAATCAGCTATGTATTTATAATACCAACTCAAATAAGCAAACAAGTGTATTATTTCTAATTCAGTGGTAAGAAAGGTACCACTTAATTTATTGATCTAGAGTTCCTTAGGCCTTTAAGGACCACAGTAGCAATCACAAAGCTAGTTTAATATGAAATAAAATGTACCATTTTATTTCTTGTTTACTGCCCCAGTGATGTGAGTTCCCCCACTCACCTGCGCAATCTGTATGGGCTGAGACAGGGGGATCTGCGTCATGGGCGTGGCGGCGGAGGCTGAGATGGTGGCCCCAGCAGCACTGTGCTGTTGGCTGGCTGAATGCTGCTGCACTGCAGCAGCCAGCAGCTGGGCCTGGGCCTGGGCCTGCTGTAGTAACAACTGTTGCTGGGCTGGTGTCAAAGTGAGCTAAAGGAAATTAGAACAAACAATGGAAGGGTTGAAGGACCAGGGTCGCCAATGCAAACCAACTACACTGAATTTATATATAAGTTAAAAGGATACTCCTCACTCCAGACATAAACAATATTCAACCTTGTCCAGGGCCCCAGGGTTCAGGCAAGAAAGTAATTAACTAGTAAGGAAGGAAAGAATCAATGCTGACAGGATATGAAAAGAAATTTACACCCAACAGAACAGCAAGTTATTAGTTAGATGAATGAGGAACAAGCATGCCAGATGTGACCAGAAAAAGAACTGATATGACCCACCTGTTCCCATTAGCATGAATCCCTGCCATATTCCATCATTTCTGTTATGTTCTAAGATATGACTAAAGAATATGAGCTCTATTTGTTTCCTTTCTAAATCTCCCTTTAGGTCCCTATTAATTTTTTTCTGAATATTTCTGTCACTGAAAGCATCAAGTCTTTCCAACTTTGCATCTTCTTTCCAATGTTACCTCTATGAAACAGGTGGTGACAGCCACTCTCTTTACATGCAAATGAATCCTAATGCCCAGGTCTAATAGAAGTACCTGGCCACTGGAACCTAGAATCCCAAGTGCCTCTTACTACTGTAGACACTAGTCGCCAAAAGGCAAACAGTAAAGTAGGAAATGTACTTGGAGCAGATTTAAATTTGCTTTCATAATGCAACTTATTTCAAATACTCTTAAATTAAGGTAAGTGTGCTAAGCCCTTCCTTTTGATGACATGTTTTCTAATCAAACAAGAAGGAATCATGTAGGGGCTGGGGTATGGCTCAGTGGTAGAATGCCTACCTAGCAAGTGCAAGACCCTGAGTTCAAACCCAATACCACCAAAAAAAAAAAAAAAAAAAAAAAAAAAAAAGGAACCATGTAATACTCAGAAGTGCACAAATAGTCACAAATAGTCATTTAGTGGCAACTGACATGACATTAGAAACTTAAAAATCAAAATAACGTTAAGAATCAAAATCAAACTGCTCAAAAACTCAAATACCCTTCAAGACATGTGCATATATATTTGTATTTTTATATAACACAGATATGTATATTAATCTCTACTGCTAGGATTTTGTAAACAATTTTGCAACAGTTGTTAAAAGAACATTCCAGTGCCAAAATGCACTTAACTGAAATGAAGAAAATAAAAAATTTGAGGGTTTGATGGTGATATGAATTGAATAAAAACTATTATCACTCCCCTAACTTCCTCCCCACAAAAAGATAATGTAATACACACTTTCAACACTAAAAAAGTATTTTAAATGATGTCTTAATATAAAGATAGCTGAAAAGTTAAAGTTTAATTATAGTCACATGGACCAATAAAAATAAATGACATTTATTGAATGCTACATGTCAAGCACTGTTTTTTGAGCTTTATATCTATTATCTCTGATCTTTGTAATAGCACTTGAGATAGGTATTGTTAACATGCCTACTAACAGAAGAAAAACTGAGGTACAGGGAGATGAAGCTGATTAGTCCAGGTGGCAGGTTGCAAAGTCAGGATATGAGACTATATATTTTATTTTAGAGCATTACACAATCACTTCAAGTACTAAACCCTTAAGTTCTATCCTGCAGTGATATAAATCTAAACTGACAGCTACCATTAATGAACAATGACTCTATTGCATAATGAAGCAACAACTGATAGGTGGGTTTAAAAAGTCCTTAATTTATTCTGAGCATCTGCAATTATAACAAAAGAAATCCTGAAAACTTACATCAAAAATAACTCCTTTTCCTGAGGCATCTACACTGTTGGAAGTCCCCTAAAGACACAATAATGCCATGTTACTGCCAGCTACAGTGAACAACTATCATCAGGTATCAGCCAATGGTAGTTCTGACATAGAGGAAGTTTACTGCAATTTTCTCAGTGAAAACTTACCCCAGTTATCTGTCCTCCAGCCAGCATAAGCTGGGTCTGGGGAATGGCTGCCTGTACTGATGGCTGCTGGGAAGGCTGGCTTGGCTGCTGTGAATCCCCCGATTCTTCACTAGATTTAGACTGGGGTGAGGTGAGGTAGGAAATAAAAGATTTCAAATACTAGATTAAAAGAAATGTACTTACAGCTCTATAGTTTAAAATTCATTTAAAACATGGGCTATTTAGTAGTGGTTTGGGTTTTTTTTCTTCTTCTTTTTTGCAGTACTGGGGCTTGAACTCAGGGCCTCATGCTTGATAGGTAGGTGCTCTACCACTTGAGACACTCTGTCATCCCTTTTTGTGATGGGTTTTTTCAAGATAAGAGTCTCATGATCTCCCTGGGACTGGCTTTTATAATCCTTCTGATCTCTGCCTCCTGAGTAGCTAGGATTACAGGTGTCTGGCATTCTTCTCCTGTCTGATAAGCCTGTAACTTCCTAGTTTTACATCCTAAGTTTTTTGACTTTTTATTCCAATTCCAGGAAGTTACTAATTATAATTTTTAAAAAGAAAAAAATTAGTCCCTCTGCAAATTAACAGAGTTTTTCCCAACCCCCAATCCTTCACTCTGGAGATAAAGAGCAAAGGGAAGAATATATTTTTAATCCATTTCTCTATTAGACCCTTCACACCAACATTATGACATATGGTGGTCAGACTCAAATTTCTTCATATACCATCTTAGGAGTTGACTATGTGACCCACAGAACTTTTCATCTATTATTTTAAAGAACTATAAATCTTGCATCTTCCATGAAGTAACACACAAGCTTGAGGGAAAATGCCGCAGTCGAGAAAACATATCCCGAAAGGAGTAGAGAGAAAAATTTTATGGTAATTAAAAACTGGTTATGCAGAGCATTAAAATTCTGCATGGATTTGCATATTTCCCACCACCTGTTTTGGGGACTGCAACAAGGCTAATTAACATAAAAGCTCTGATTAATTCTGCCAGTCATTGAAAGATAATTACAGTGCAGGACTGTAAACATTCTGCACTGGAGATACAGCCTGTTTGCCAACATCTCCTAAGGGATGTAAGTTTACCATGGCAACCAAGGCAATTTTCCACCTTCTCTCCCTCAGAAAGGAAGGTCACATTATCTCCTTTTCTTTTCTCTCCAGTTTCCATGTGTTACTAGGTCCATATTCCACTGGGTTTCAAAGAATGCTCAACCCAAGGTCTTTCGTTTTTAGCAACACTGAAATCAATCTTGCAGAATATTGTTTTTCCTTCTTGACTGCTGGCTGCCTAAACACTATAATGAAAGGAAGCAGCAGGTTGAAATGTTATGGAGTAACACATAATACTTGAACTCTGCATGTTTTGCCGTATGGTTCATAGAAGTAAAAAGCCAGATTTAAGTTTTGTTTTAAAACTGACTATCTGCCCATCAATATTTATAAACAGGTTTAAGTATAATTCTTAAAATCATACCATTTTAGAGCAGAGTGAAACTGGCAATCTTATATATGTTCCTCATTAAATAGAGAGAAAAAACTGAGCACCAGGAGGTTAACTGACTTGCCAAGGTCACACAGCTAGTGTCAGAATAAGAATTCGAACCTGAGACACCTCTGTTTCTAGTGTTCTTTCCTCTGCATTATGCTTCCCTAACACATGGAAAATGATGAAGAGATTACTTGGCTTGTGTGTAGGGAATTTACATACATAACCTTGAAGATAGACTTTTCTTGTCCACCTTTGCTTCATGTCCAGTAACAGAATATAAAATTAATTTTCACTAATGGCAATAATTATCACTGGGATCTTTATGAGATTTGGTAATAAAATCTTGAAATAAATAGTAATAAAAATAATAGCCATACTTCAAAGTAGTTCCTTTTATAAAATTATGTGTTCATTATGGAAAAAAATATATAGAAAATTTGACCCATAATTCCATATCCCAGCTTACCTGTACATTTAAAGACTGAGCAGCAGCCTGTAAACTTGTTCCAGCGAGCTGAACCTATGTAAGTAAAGCAATCAGGGGACATGCTAATCTATAAACTGTTGACACTCATTGCCAGAGATTATCATTCACAAACATCACACACGTCACTGAGTTAGAAGTGAGCACACAGAGAAGTTTATTTATGGGGTTAAAACTTTGTGAACAAGCTCATAGTTTGCCTTACCACAACTGAAAAATGCTATTAATGTTTTCTAGATATTTTTTCCCACTCTAAATGAGTATAATCAGGCATGTCACACTTGTAGTGGATGGCTCCTTATTTAACATTCTGTTTATATTCTTAAGATATGTAGATTAAAAAAATTTAATTCATCTTCCATATCATGTAAAGAACACATAAGAACAAGTGAGCTACATATTTTATCATTACAAACAGAAACAGTTATTCTTTTCTCTTCTCCCCCCATGTACTTATTCTTATTCCAAAATTTCGATAAACCAGAGTAAAAATTTTACATATACAAACCTAGCTAAAATAAAGAATCTGTCCTATAAAACACACCTGAAGGTCTATCATAATATCCAATATTCATGCTTTGTACGTTCAGAAAGGTGAAATTATGGCTATGTTAAAGTAAGGACACACATGGAGTTAGAAAACCATCTTTTGGCAACCATAACAATAAGTGATTCAGACAAGAATTAACAATGGATTATCTAACAAATGGGCAAAATTTGAGGATTATAGTATATCTATATGTTCTCAACTATTTCTCCACAGATATTAATTACAAAGGGTAAAATAGTAACTTTACAGAGGGGGATACATGGTAGACAAGTGATTATGTATAGTTAGAATTACAGTAATAAGACATGAACCTCTACTACAATGCACTGTAAAAAATACATTACTTATGTTGTATTCCTACCAAAAATGGACTACCTGAATCTAATCATGATGAGATGGCAGACGAGCACAAATGAGGAACACTACAAAGTAATGGGTAATGAAGGGAGAAAGAGACCATAAACTAGGCTATAATAAAAGGAAGTGCAAACCAGCATGGTGGCAGTGGGAATAAAAAGTAGGAAACATGAAAGGTATTGCAAGGTACTACATAAGGATACAAGCAACTGGATATAGATGAAAAAGAGTTGCAGATTATTCCAGGGTGAAAATCTAGGAGCCTAGAAAATGTAGTATCATTAACAAGGAAGATAATGAGTTCCATTTTGAATATATCATATCACATTAAGATGTCCTGACATCAAATGTAAGTGTTGTTGTGGAGTTCACAGAATTAAGAGCCAAAATGAACTGACTGCTATGCCCTTTATTTAGGAAGTCCTGTTAGTAGATAAGAATCATCTGCAAAGAAAACACAACAACAAAAAAACTCAATCTCCCCAAATTTATATAATATTTGGACCCAGTGTAATCAGGAGAGGCCTATCTGAAGAGATAGTATGTTTAAGACCTAAGGGGTTAGAAAAAGTCACCTAAGGAGCCAGAGGAAAGAGTTTCAGGTACAAACATTTAAAGGAAGTAAAGTTTTATGTGACTTTAAATCAGTCGTTTCTGGGTAAAAGTTTGTTGAAGCACAGGCTATTTATACAGTCTCAAAGAAATCACCTTGTTGGTTCTTAATTACAAGGAGGAACAGCTACATTTACAGGATGTAATGATTAACACTACTGTAGTCAAATGATAAAACTCGTGTCATAATAATGGGACAAGGCAATATCACATATGCTTTCTGATATAATGCACTAAGATGGGCTGAACATCACTTCTGTTGCATTTCTTTCCAAGCACTCACTATGAATCTAATCATAAGGGGACAATCAAACAAACCCAAATTATGAGGAACTCTATAAAACAGTTGGCCTCTAACCTCAAAAATGTGAGTGCTATGAAAGATAAAGAGAGACTAAGCAAATGTTCTGGACTGAAGATGACAAAATAGGCATGACAACTGAATACAAGGTACAGATTGAATAGTAGACAGGAACTATTTAAATAATGATCATATAAAATAATATTGCATTAATGCTAAGTTTCTAGAATTTGATATTTGTGTTGTAATTTTGTAAGAAAATGTTGGGTTTTTTTGAAAAACAGGGTGAAGTATTTATATGAGCACAACATCTTCAACTTACTGTCAAATGATTTAACAAAAATGTTAATATTTTATATGTGTACAAACACACAAGGAGAGATAAAGTATGGTTAAATGATAAGAATTAATGATTTCATATGAACACTTAATATTGTTGAAATTGTAGATTTGAAAGTTTTCAAAATAGAGAATTAAAAATAAAAAATAAGAGCATCCCTTTACCACTCCATTTAGTCAGTTTCTCTTTTATTGTTTTTCTATTTTTTGAGACAGGTTCTTACTATGCAGCCCAGGCTGGTCTTAAAGTTGAGATTCTGTCTCAGTCTCCTAAATGCTAAAAAAAAAAAAAAATCACACTGTATACTATAAACATCTTAGACTGTACAGTATGAGCTAATCATTCTTCTTCTGTATTTCCATGTTTTATTTATTTAACAAATAATTACCAAAAACCTAATATATTTTGAGCTTTTTGGTAAATGCTAGGGACACAGGCAAATAAGAAAAGGTTCCCGTCTTCATGGAGCTTATCATTAATGGTAAGAAATAACCTATTTTGCATATGCATATTTATAACTATGCTAAGGGAAGGGTTAATGTGCTAAACTGATCAGGAAGTAAGTTGGAAATCCACTTGTATGTTAATTATATGTCTAACCAGGTGATGAACAATTATTCAGGTACTTCTGCCTTGATAGAGGTTTCAAAATTGTCAAGGTTTCAAATACAGTTCTTCGATTTTCGTTATTTTCGTTTAAGCAGACTTTGGTAATCAGTGGCTAGACCTGGAGGTCTTAGAGTTAGTGCAAGAAGAGTTGCAATCATCTTGGAATTTGGACCTAGTAGGCAGATTTACAGTATCATCTATGCAACTTCAGGGATTAAAAAAAAAAAAAAAAAAAGTTTGGACCATGTCATGGTTTGGATCATAAATGTCCCCTGAAGTCTCATAACTGAAAGGCTTGGCCCTAGCTGATAAAGTTATCAGAAAGTGATGGAACCTTTAGGACATGGGGCCTAGTTTGAGGAAGCAAGGTTATGGACAGTGTGGACTTGAAGGTGACCTTAGGACCTCAGTTCTTTCACCTGTCTTTCTCCGTTTCTTTGTCACCATGAGGTAAGCAGCTTTACCCCACCAAGTGCTCAAAGCTCTGAAGCTGTGAGACAAAATAAATCTTTCCTCCTTTCTAGTTCATTGTGTGGGTATTTTGTTACAGTGTTGGGCAGCTGACTAACACAGATCATAACATATTTAAACCATTTAAAGATGCTTACCATGTGCCACACAATTGACTAAAGTCTATCAAAATTGTGATTTCTCTTTAAAAAAAAAAAACAGAAAAATGTGTTGGATCTTTGAATATATTCTTAGAAGAAAATTAAAATGATGTTTTTCCTAGATTATATTAAAATACATTGTTAAATTTCAGATATTAATATTGATTATTTTTATCTAAAAGTTATAGAGAGAAGTTTCTCTATTACAAATGAACTATAATGATTCCACACTAACCCTTCAGAATGATACAACTGGATGTGACTGGCACTAGGCTTTAATATTAAAATTTAATATTTAAAGTTTTATATTCTAAAATAACTTGCCCAGGTCCTAGCATTTTATGTCTCTGTCTTATTTTCACTTCTGGTTGAGCAAAACATTCTACCTGATGGAGATGTCCAAGGAAAGCCTGGGCCTGGGCTGTTGAGATTGCTCCTCCAACAGGCACAGGTTGCTTCTGAAAGTCGAGACCATTGGTTTGTGTGCCTGGAAAGCAAGCAAAATGACTTAATAAGGGAAATATATTCAAGTGAAACTAAGTACCAGACTTCAGTTACCAAAACTCATTAGGACACTTTTTTTATTTACGTACTTAGAATTCTAAATACCTCCAAAGAGAAGAAGGGATTCAAAAGAAATATAGTAAAATAGTTTGTCTTCAAAAGGTAGAACTACAAGACAAATGTATAACATCAGAATTAAAAACAGTGACAAACATTCATAAGGCAGTTTTAGAGAATGCAGAAGCAATGACTGAAACAACTGGGGTTGGAACTGGCATAAAACTTAATGATGGCTTTGATCCCCGGTACTGAAAATTAAAAAAAAGTACATATTGTGCCAAAGAATTACAAATTATCCTGGTATGAAATGTAATTAGTCATTTCCATAAGCCATATGCAGGAATTTCACTATTTTTATAGTTGTACATTTTGTCACAAGTTGCTGCCTTTATCTGTATGAAGAGATTATCCATGTGAAGATTTCAAGATTGTGCACCATTACACTGAAGTCATAACTCAATAAAGCTGGGGGAAAAAGACTGCACCAATACAGAAATATGGTCAAGACATATTAATAGACCAACAAAGTTGAAAGATGAGATTATGAAAAACAGAGACAAGCACTCAGAGATTAACATTTCTAATATGAAGTTCTCCAGGACCAAATATTTCACTCTCACAGAGTCTACCAAAATTCTACACACTGATTCTAATTCTTATAAAAATGATAATAAGCTCTTTGTTAAGTCATAAAGCACTAAATAACATAAGGTTAATTGACTTCTGGTATTCTGGTACAATGCTTTATAGCAGATCATTGTTAATAGTATTAGCACTTAATACTATTAAGTGTTGTGACTCTGCCTCTTGGGGAAATGGGATGAAAATATGGTATTTGTACTTATTACCTATGGTATTTGTAAATTTTTTATTTTTAAGTATTACAATATTTTGACATCTTGGAAAATCTTTCTAGGTAGGTAGTGATTGCCCTTTCTAGGCTTAATCAATTCTTAGCCTCTGCAGTGATTCATTCACACTATTATATAAATATTTAGGTATAAAAAGCAGTAATAAATGAGACACAAGACTATCACATAGGAAAGAACCTGATGTAATAAGAGAAAAACAACAACAAAAATACATAATATAAAAAAAAGAAAACCTGCTGTAATAAAAAATGTTGACAAATATTTACCAAAACTTGTTATTTCAGATATTGGTGTTCTGAGGTTATAAAATTAAATACAGTAACAGCCCTTCCTCTGAAGTAGTCTTCGGACATATTCATTCACTAAACAAATACTTATCACGTATCTATTACATGGCAGGCAGTACAGCAGTGAAGAAGAGACAAAAATCACGTCTTCATAGAGTTTATATTTTAGTGCGGAGAAAGGGACAAAAAACCAGAAATATTAGATATTAGATAGAAATAAATGATATGGGAAAATAAAGAAGAAAGGGGAAGAGTCTGCTCAGGGTGTACAGGTAATAGTTGTGGTTTTAATTTCAGTTGATCTTAAGAGTATGAGATGGAATTAACTGGAAAGACTGAATGGGAGAAGGAAATGTCAAACGTTTCTACAGCTAAAGTAGAAGACACTATACTCAGGCTAAAAAATAAAATCCAAGAATCCTAACTAACAATTTTAGATACAGTGTTAGGTCCTAGGGTTCTAAAGACAAACAAGTCATGTTCTATACCACAAGGACCACACACTCAGGTATGAGTGATAGACAAGAAAAATTTAAAAGACAAGTACTACAAAAAAGATAGCAACAAAAAGAGTATGGTACTGTCACTGCCCTCAGGCAAAACAAACAAGTATAAGGTACTGACACTGTCCTCAAGCAGAATATCGGTTTGCTCTAAGAAAGGTGCAAAGTGCTTTGAGAGATTTAGTGTGGCTAAGAAGAGGGAAAACTGAGTTTATACATGCAGTGAAGCATGAACCACCAAGGTGAGGGAAGTGAATAATCTAATGGCTCAGATGTGAGCACACTTTATTATTAACCACTTTTTATTATAATGAGACACTCTGACCATAATGGAGATGCATGGAAAGAAACACTGTTAGAAAAAATGTTTCAGTTTCTAATACTATTTACCAGAAAATGAATGAAGATTTGCTACTTTTAAATTATATTATCTAACCCGTTAGAATGCGTGTAATTTTTTTTTTTTAAGAGGAAAACAAGAAGTGCTGTCAAGGACACAGAGAAATTGGAATCCTATACCTTGATCCTGGAAATGAAAAATGGTCAGCTAATATGAAAAACAGTGCGGTGGTTCTTTAAAAAGTTAAAATACAGATTTAACATTTGACCCAGCAACTCTACCACTAGATACATACCCAAACGAATCAAAAACAGATACTCAAAGAAATCCATGTACATAAATGTTCATTGCAGCAAAAAGTAGAAATAACCCAAATGTCCTTCAATAGATGAATGAGTAAACAAACTGTGGTATATTCACACAATAGACTATTATTAAGCTATAAAAAGGAATGGTACAATGTGGATGAACCTTGAAACCATTATGCTAACTATTGCCTATTCATTTACTTACAGAAGCCAGTCTCATCCATCTGACTGCTTATATATAATCCGTACAGGCCAAGTAACATAAAACGTACTCCTGTTGGATGCTATGTGAAAATAAGAATAACAATTTTTTGAATGAAGGCCTGAGAGATTTTGGAACATAGAATTTATGAAAGTTATTTTTCATCACTCAGCACCTTATTTTAGATAGTACTGCACTGTATGAAAATCATGTGGTAGTACTTCAACTAAACCTATATAATAAAGAAAAGTACATTATTCACAGATTTCCATGTAGATTTACCGCAGTCAATGCAAAGTTTACCAATTACCTAAATTCCTAACATCTTACAGGAAACAATGACAGTATCTGCTTGTCACTGTATTATCTTGATAAGAAAATACAAATTCCAAATGAAGTTCAAAAGTCAAGCAAACATGGAAAAAGATCATGGCAAAAGATTTTTCAAGAAAACTTAGCTACTGTTTATATTTTAGTGTGTATGAAAAAAGCGTCTTCCATCTGAGCCACCATCAAATTGAGAGAAATCTGGGATAATGGAAATCTAGAAAGAGAATCACTTATGGCAACAGAAAGGTTCTATAACACTACAAAAACAAGAAGCATAATCAAAATTGATGATACGGGTCACCTTCAGGATGGATGATTATTATATATGTGTGATTTCTACAACAATCATACTGTGTTATCCTTTACTTTCTAAGAAATAGCATGAGAATGTTCTTCTGTATCACCTTGTAGGTAAACGCACATCAGTGACACATGTGAAGATTTCTGTAGGTAGATAGTGTTTGTTAAATCTATCTGATGAAAGATGCCATTAAACAGATTTTCATTAACTTTATTTTCAACTGCAGAAAAATGAATTAATTTTAATTGTGACCTATAAATTGCTGAAACCATCTTTTTCAAATAACCTAAATATTTAACATAAATGGTAATACACCAAGGGCTAAGGAAACAAGAAAGTAAGTCCATATAACCTAATATCATACTCACATTTTGTTGACAAAGAAAAATTTGCCATTTACCCTCCTCCATCTATCTCCAGTTTCCCAACCTAGTCAAAGCCTCCCTACTCACATCTTTCCAATAAGGTGTGAGTCAGTTACATGGTGGCAGATTCCTGCCTTCCTCAGGAACACAAAATCAACTCTTTCTTCTGATTGTATCTGATGCCACAGCTCTTCGCTTGAATTAGGATCCTTCGCAACAAATAATTCCTGTTTCTTTTTCTGGATGAACTGTTTACTCCCAGCCCTACTCCAGACTTCCTTATTGTATTCTATTTCTGTTTTCATTTTCTCAGTACCACCAGGACATCCCTAATTGCCTCTGTTCCTAATCTTATTTAGAGCACTTTCTTACATTTGCTTCTACTAAATATGTATTATCTATACCTGTTTTTATCTCCTTCACACTATTTCTCCACCTGAAGTGGGGGTGTGGGAGCTTCTTCTAGTTTAGGCCATTTTATCCACAGTTCTTAAAAACCCAACATCTCTCTCTTCAGAACTTTGATTTTGAATTGTCTATTCTTTCTTCACCCTGTCATTTTCCTTAACACATAAATGCCCATATTGCTCAACTGGGAGGATCTTTCTGACCTACTTTCCCATTTTTAATTTGTCTTTAACACTGCCATTACCATACTCATTACAAATGGCTATACTGAGCACTTACTGCGTCACACATCTTCTTGCTTTCCATATACAAACCAATACTATTATTGTTACTTAACTCTAGCTTATAGCTAACAAAACCATGGTGCAGAAAGAAACTTGGCCAAAGTAACATAACTAGTAAGTAAAAAAAAAAAAAACCAGAATATGAATCTGGGTGGTTTGGCTTCAGGGTCTGAGCTCTTAACCACTAGCTCTGTAAGCCCCTCATAGAACTTCCATTAAGAGTTGACTATATTTATCATCATCCTTCCTCAACCATTCATTCACATCTCCACCCATGTTTTTTTTTTTTTTTCAACAACTTACCTAAACTTTTTAAAAGCTCCCCACTAACCACAAACTGTCAAATCCAAGCGTCACATTTTAAGCATACTATGTCTTAGACTCTATTTTGTTTTTCTGAGACAGGGTCTTGCTATGTAACCCAGCTGGCTCAAACTTACTATCTACCTGCCTCAGCCTCCTGAGTGCAGAGATGACAGGGATGTACCACCATATCTGGCTCTGTCTTGAACTCTTGACCACAATGAATACAATTCCGTGAACGGGCTGGCTGATTCACTTCTGACCTCTATGGTTCAACAGAACTTTCTGTGATGCTGGAAATGTTCTGAGAGCTACCAATGTGGTAGCCACTAACCATACATGGCTACTGAGCACTAAACACGTGCCTAGTGTAACCAAGGAACTGAATTCTTAATATTATGTAATTTAAACTTTTAAATA